TCTTAGCCTCCTTGGAAGGCTGTCGGTCCACTGCTCCGTCGTCGAGGAGGTCGCGCGGATGGACCTCACATCATTGCCCTGATGGCAGAGTTTGTGGAACCAAACCCTTCTCTCGCGCTGGTCTGTGAGGATCGCGTTAGTGATCTTCAAATCGCCTTGGGGATAGGAATTATTCCCGCCGAGCTTGAACGTCTGGAGAACCCGTCCCAAGCTCAAAGTGACCTGTTCGCCGTCACCCCCGGTGTTTGGAACCTTCTCTTCTTCAAAGACCCCCGCGTCGTAGAAGGGCTGCTGGAGTTTGTCCTTGAAAGGACGTAGATTTTGGTGTTGTGTGATGCCAAGGAATCTGTGATATGCACAGTAACTTGGGTCACCGGTTTTGCTGCCTCTTCAGCGCTTGGTGGCTTCCGGTAACGTTATCCGCCCACGTCTTGAGTAGAGTGTCGAAGGTAGCTACCACCTGTCCTTCTTTGAAATCAAATATGCCGCTGGGGCGCGGTTCAAATTGCCTGGGTTTTCGCTATTTGAACGACTTTGGCGGCCGCGGCAAGTCAACGGCCATAGCCTCTTTTCCCTTCGATCGAGGAGGGTTCTTTGCGGCAGCCGGCTCTGGCTGGCTCCCTTTTTGGATTGCGGCTCTTCGGGCTCGCCAGCCTCTTGATCATATTTTCGAACATTGCTCAGCCTTGGCCGAACAAGCTCCTTACCAAGTCCGGGTCTCTACCGCCCTATCGTTGGACAAGATATGGATCGACAGGTTGTTGCGGCAACATCTCGTCAGTGTCGCCCTCGGAAACTTGGTCCCCAGACAGTGACTGATCGTTCCGAAATCTCTTCGACGAAGTCATTGAGCCGATTCCGAGCTTGCCGTTGCTTCTGGCAGGCAAGGAGAGTGGCCATTGACGAGCCTCGTGTCGTCGTGCGAAGAAGGCGGCGATAGGAAAAGCTTCAACGTCGGCCCAGCGCCTTGATAGAGCCGGGCTCCATTGCGGAACCCATTCAAAGGCCAGCCCCCTTGAGGGTAGCCCTCTATGAACAGTCGAGGTGAAGAAAATGGCGGTCGATTCCCGGTAAGGAATCCGGTTTTGGCGCCATAAAAATAATAGATGTGCTTGCGAAAGGGTGACCCCTTGCCATCAACTGTAACAAGCTGATGGGTTTGAAGCTTCGGCTGGGTATGGGAACCTGTCCCATTTCCGGTGGGGGTAGGAAAACGTACCAAACCGCCCAGCTTGTTCATATTTTTGGCTGAAGCTTCAGCGGCGTTCCAGTGGTCATTGAGATTCATCGAAGCGTCTGTCACGGGTGCTATCCGCGAGTTGTGGCGACGTTCCTATCGGATGCTCTTGGGAGGACATAATTTCGGAATGTTGATTATCGCTCCGCCTCAGACACGGGAGCGGAGGGGAGGTTACCGCACTCCCTGTCTCTATTGCTGCCCGGGGTATAGGGCGTTGGGCTCCTTTCTTTCTTTTCTTCTTGGTTCAGCAGTCTGTTCCATCATCTCTCTTAGAAGGAGTCGATGGTCGCCTGCTGTTCCTGCCAACGTTTTGAGCCATTGTCTGGCTCGTGGTTGGTATCGGTGCATGTGTGCCCTCGCCTGCCGCGTCTTGGCTTGAGCGCGAGGTCTGAGATGTGGCAGGCGGCCGGAATGGTCGCTCATCTCGGGCCGGCAGGAGGTGAGGTATTAGGTTGGAATAGTCAAAAGCAAATACTTACCCCCCGTGACTACGGGTTCGCATGGAATATGCCTTCCTGCCGCGTCGGACGGCGGAACCAGCGAGTGGTTAGGTCTTAGGGCGGAATCCGAGTCTGGGGCGAGTCGGCAGAGTATCCGCCTTCCCTTTATGCCGTCATGTAACCGTGGGGATGGAAGAGTTACAAAGTCATGGCACGCTGGCGGCGTCTTTTCTGGTGACGGCGCCTTTGACGGAGGGCGCTTAGGTCGAGAGGGACTGTTGGGAGCAGCTCCGCAACACCGAAGGGTCTCGCCGGTTACCGAACGCATTGACAGTCGGCGAGGACCGTGTGGATGAGTCTCTCGGGCAGTGGCAACTGGAGGATTCGCGTCATGGATTAGTGCGTTTGCGAGTTAAATATTCTCTGAGGTCTTCCTACGGGCGGTTTGTGACAACCCCGGCCTCAGAAGAGTCGGCTGCTGGTGAGTCGAACGAGAGGTTTTTGGGTGCGCGCCTGGTGCCGTTGGATGGAATGCTTTGTGCTGGAGTCGAGCGATCTCGCCTTGACTGGCGAGTCTTCGGCGTTTGAGCGAGCTCCAAGTAGTGGGGCGTTTCCACCCTTCGGCACTGGAAGAGCGAGTTTCGCGAGGACTCGGCATACTCTCTACCTTTACGTTTATCCGCGTCAATGGTTATGACGAGGCTCGCCAGCTTCGATGGACTCGGCCTACTCGGGTAGGCTCATCCTTGAAGTGAGTTATTCGCATCAAGGGATATGACCTGAGAAGCGAAGTATTCCCGCGGCGGACTCTGCTTCCTCGTTTGGCGGCTCCTGACTTGGAGGGCCTTCCGCAGAATGTCGGCGGCAGTTTGCCTTCTCGCACTAGCGTTCCTCGGGCCGTATGATGGCTCAGGCGCGTTATGAGGAACGGAGTTTTGGACCTCCTGTCTTACCGAGTTCCTGGCCAGCCGCTGGTTGTTAGTTCTCCCAACGGGGAGAAACGTCACCACGAGCTGTGGGCAGCATGGTTTGTGCGGAGTGAACCGGCGTTTCCTTCGGGTAGGTGTCTGGCGGGGATCGCTTGCGACACCATTTGGCAGACCCCTTGCCCTTGCGCTGCCGACCCCCGTTTGGCGTTGATCGATTGTGAGGGAAGCGGGTATCTTCCGATGAGACTGCGGTAAGAACCCGTAGGCGGCAGAGGCTTTGACCGGTCTGAGGTCGGCCTCGACGCACGATCTCTGTGACGTTTGCGGGAGCGCATCGCCATCCGCAGAGGAGGAGGAGGACAAGTACTCTTCGTACTTGGCCTGGTGCCGAACTCAATTTCTTAGGGACCTCCACTGTCGTCCCTACAGCAACCTCATCAAACTGAGCACCAGCCATTTCACTCGATGAAACAGGCTTCTCCCACTGTGGTCGCCATCCTTTCTGTAGGGTGAATATTCTGATTTCCCGAAAAGGGAGTATTCGTTTATTTATAAGAAAGCTTTTACAAACTAAATGATCAAATTAGTTAGCAACAGAAGCAGAGGAAGGCCCTCTTGTTTTTGTGTGGGGACTGTTTTAGGTGGCTACAAGGATGCTTCGGCTGATGCTCGTGCGGTAGAGTCTGCTTCGCCTTGGACCGGTGTCGAATGAGGTTGCTGGAGAGCTTCAGTTCGGCAAGTAAAAGCTCAACTTGAGAGAAGTTCGGTGGTCTTTTAGTTCGCCGGCGAATCGAGCATCGGCGAAGCGCTAAGCAAGTGGTGGCTGCAATGCAAAAAGGTTATGCAGAGAGCTTGGTCTCAACTCTTTCCTAAGTTTTGGCGACGTCGTCCTCCAGTGTGCCGGAAGGGGCGCTTTTTAAATGGGAGAAGGACAACTAACTCCTCTTGAAGATAGTGGGATGTGACCACATCTTCTCAGAGGACGTTAGCTGTTCGCTCGTCGAAACCATGAACGTCTTCCAGGGTTGTGCCTTTATGTCCTGTCACCCCTACGATGGGAAGGCCGCATTCTTGTATGTGAGGCCAACAAAAACGACTGGCTATCACGAGTGGATTTGACCAGCATTAAGAACCGCATTTATGAGTCCGCAGATCGATGAGGCTCTGTCCGATCACCACGTACTGTGGGGCGTGACCGCCCGGCGTGCTTTGGCAGCGACGTTTCTCGCTTTCCGGTCAGGAGAGGCGGTGAAGTAGGTGTACAGCGTACTCCAGAGTGAGTCTAGCCAGCTTGCCGAGTGCCGGCGTGACCCACTCCAGACTCCAGACAGCCGCAGGTGAGTCGCCATTTATGAATGCTCAGGTTGACTCGACACCTGTCGCAGCTCCTTCGTGCGTTGCGGCACTGATGGGCGCCGTTTTGACGGTCCTGGGTACTGTGCTCTCTCTCCCTTTGGGTGCGAGAGAGGTGGGAAGGCCACCTCAGGCCGTTGGTAGTGGATACCCAGCTGTACTGACGTTTTGGGCTTGCTGGCGGATTGAGCTCCGAGACTCGGCAGGCGAGTTGAGCGAGCGCAAATTTCCGCCATGCCTACGACTCCCTGACCTCAATGCTGGCGAGTCGACAGTTAAGGCGAACCTTGGATTTGGGCACCAGTCGACTCTACGCGTCTAGTCGCGTGTCAGAGAACTGGGCGTGCCGAACTCTTCTCAGTAGACAATTCCGCCTGTAGACCATAAGGTATTTTTTACCGTCTACAATGGTTTCAGGGGGAGTAACGCTATGGTTGTATCTCTTTTGCCTTAGGACTGAATGGTTTTTTCCCAATGGGTTTTCGACAGCTAAAGGTTTTAACGAGGCAAACAAGTTTACTGTCTGGATTCAGCAAAAAAGTATGCAGCCCCATTAGCTTTACGAAGCGCCTGAAGTGTTCATGGAAGCTAAACCCAACAGGTAATGATGGATAAGGGGAGTATTAGAGATGAGGGAGCCTTTGTTGCCATTTGGCGCTCCCCCTCAAGTCCCTATCCCTCCATTCCAGCCCCATTATGGTAGCTGTAACACCCAGTAAAGTGGGGTGACTGGGTGACTCTTGGGTACTCAACCTATTCACATTGACTAGTATAAATATATATCATAGGCCTTTGGCCTATTGATGGGTTTCAAACAATAATATATTAGTTCTATTATCATGATTTTCATGCATTGATAAAATTTTGTTCACCTCAGATGTTGGGGGTTTCTGTGATTCAGAAGGTGAGATGAGTCATTAGAATTTTTTTTAATTATTTACGGATACGAGCAATTGAAAGGTGGACTTCAATAAGCCCGTGCTCAGTATGGGCTAAAACACTAGTCATTAGAAAAGAACAATCCATCACGCTGAACAGGATAAGAAACAAAAACTAGCACAAAAAATCCCTCTCTCTCACTCTCTCGTTTCGGAGCAGCAAGCTGCTGCAGAATCTCCAACTACGTCAAGAATATTCAAAAAAGGGGAAAAAAGAAAAAGAAAAACCTCGGCTATTATGCTCTGTCTCAGCCTAAACCCTAGAATCCCCTTTCTCTCTCCTCCTCATCCTCTTTCTCTCTCTCCTCATTCCGTCGCGTCTCTGAGGAGGCGCAGCTGCGCCGGCGTCTTCTCGTCGCACTCGAACCCTAGAATCCTCAAATCCAATCGAAGGAATCGGCGAACCTCAGCTTATTACGAGGACGATGAGGATGATGAGAGCGAATCTGAGCTATCCGATGTAAAGTCCTTCTTCTCACAAAGTTTCTATAATTAGAACTAAAATCTTAGTAGTAATGACACTTCAAAAGGTACGTGCATGGTGTTCAATTGATGCTGCTAGGAATTGCTTGTTTGGGGTTCGATTATTTATGTTGAGCAGTTATGATTCATGTCGTATTTGAAAATGCTCTGTTGCAAGCTTTATTAGGAACTGCTTGCTCAAATTCTGAATCATTTCTGTGAAAGTGAAGGGTTTGAGATGCAATTCTTTTTTTTATTTTAAATAACCCAGAGCGGAATCGAACCCAAGACCGAGAGATGCAATTCACCGCTTAAGCACTTAAGCGGTGAATTCCTGAAATATATTGATATGTGTAGATATGCTTTTGTTTAGTATCCTGTAGAGATAATGTGATAACATGATGCCCCACGAAAATTAGTCCCACGTCAGGAAAACTAAGAGACTATAGATGGTTTAAACAGTGAGATTCAAGTGTAACATTGGGTAGCCAAAACAATGTGTTGCACGCCCTGGGCCTCAGGACTTAAGTTGCGCCGAAGGACTTGCGGACCTGAGGCGTTCCCAAAAGAAAAATGGTAAATGATAGGACCTCGGATAAATTGTCAGAAGTACCAAGAGCAATCGAGTTCTTTTATTTTTAACTAACTAAATTATTTCTACCCGAGAAGCAGATATTTTGGGGGAGAGGGGATATGATTCTCTGTCTTACTGAGTCTGAGTGCACTTCAAATCAAATTCCTTCAAGTAACGTTGGATTTGCCTACAACGAGTTGGGAAAAGATGTTTCATACTATTGATTGACATTGACAAGGGTAAAATTTCGCGTATATATAATTATTGTAGGCTATCTATAGAACGTCTTAAATAGTAAAACAAGAAAAGAAAAGTCCCATAAAAAGGAAAAATATAAGTAAAAGAAAAGTCCTAAAATTGGAAAGTACTATATGTAACATTACTAAGTAGGTTGAGACAATTGTCTGAGACTCTAAATTCATTGTCTTTTGGTGATACATAATTGATAATTTGAGCGTAACCTTCTCCAGTGGTGGGCATGCAACCAAAGTTCCTCTAACAATTTCAATTTAACCTCCCCTATCATGTGGTTAGTTTCATATTTGATAGATATTTTGAGCGTAAATTTCCATCAGCAGGCTGGAAAGAAATTTCATCTAATGTCGTCAAATAGAGTGGATTTATGAGACTTGCACCAATTAACTATTATAATTTTTGTTGAATTTTAATAAATTAGTCCTCATGGAATTTATGGTGGAGCACTGTATACAGCAATGAGCCGTGTTAATACAGCATGTGGCTATGTGCAACAGTAACGGGGGAAAGCGTGATATGCTTGGATTTTAGACAAAAGCTAAGCATCGTAGATATGCCCTGTTGAGGCGGTTGAAAACATAACAGACAAGCTGGTCTGGTCCAGCTACTTTAGCATCCAGCATCCCCTAGGCCTACATAAAGGATAGGCACTTAACAATACACGTGGGAAGTCAAGCTTCCTGCACGGCTTTAACTTGTGGGTTCTGATCTTCATAGTGACACCAATACTTTTGCTAATGAATAAACCATAGAAACCTAGCTATATGTTAAGATCTATATGCAAGCAGGAAGTTAAGAGAACTGTAAGGCTAAGTCTAAAGCATAAATATTTCACATAAACAATCAGAGACTCAGAAGCTAAGGAAGGAATAAGGCCTAAAATGAAAATTGGGGAGGTTATTTCCGTAGTTCGTGTAACGAGAATATAGGATCAAATGATTTATTTGATGTAATTGTAAACAATTCTAGCTTATGTAAGATAAGATGTTTTGGATAAAATAAAATGTAGGGAGTTGTAGGACCCGGCCATACCCCTATTCAGGTCCAGAGATATGTATGGATAATACTAAGATTCAGAGATATGGATGAATAATACTAACTCGTTTGTCTTTGTAAAACTTTAAGAAAAGTAAGAAATAGTCTAATGAAGGAGGAAAACTACTTTGGCGTGTGTTTATTAGAACTCAAAAAAAAACTTGTAGAAAGTATATTGTACGCAAACTTGTGAGACATACAAGTTATGAAAAGAAGGAAAAAAAAGAAAAACCGAAAAAAAAAGAAATTCTTGTAAGGGAGAATCTTAAACCGAACTACCAGCTGCCAGCATCTACAAGACTACTACTATGGAAAAGAGTCAATCTGCACCATGGTTAAGAAAAGGAACAATCATTTCAAAATCAGTTTGGTTGTATTACAAAGGTACACGCCTATTAAGATTATTAATGGAAACATTAGAGAGGAACAAAGAAATCTACATACAGTTTAATTTGTTTTGGAAAAATTTAAGATGACGGAATATGGTGAGTTAGAAAGGAAACAAATGCATAGTAGTTATAATGATTTTATTAAGGACATATTTCCTGCTACTAGAGGAGAGTAGACCAGTTTCATTCAACGCGAAGCCATGCGTATTAACAAAGTCTCTCCCCCCCCCCCCCCCCTCGCTCTCTTCCGCTCATTACTTTCAAGGTCAGAATACCGAAATAGGTAGAAGTATAAGAGAAGCTTCACAATCAAACTTTTTTACAGATGAAATAAAACATATGAAACATGATTCTATAAACTAATAGAGGAAGAAACAATGTACTGTATCCTGATAGCCAAGAAACATTTTCGTTTCTTAGGATCGATCATTCATAGGGATGGTGCTTTAAGAAGGATTTCATTATATATTCAGATATTCTAGCAAAATGATAGAAGTAGGGATGTGTTTCTTTAGTGTTGCATGACTTTAGCATACTGATGAAGCTGAAGGGAAATTAAGCTAATTACCATATTGGTATTAAAGTTGACCCCAATTAGCAATATAGTATTCTTCAAAACTCTAACGTCAATAAGACTCTTTTCTCACCAGCAACAAGAATTCCAGCGAGAACTGTAGCCTTTTTGTTGGGAAATTTTCTTCCACCCCCTACACAAAGTTATTCTATTTTATAGCCCTAATCTCCTTCAACCTCCCCAAATTCAAAATTTTCTACCCTTTTACCCAGTAAAACCCTCCTTCACCCTCTCTCTTTCTCATTAATGGAGCGTCCTCCTTCTCCTTCAACCTCACCCAATTCAAACCCAAACCGTTGTTCCCCTTTAACCTCCCCCAATTCAAATTTTTTTCTACTCCTTTACCCAATAAGACCTTCCTTCACTCTCTCTTTCTCTCTCATTAATGGAGCGCCTTTCTTCTCCTTCGACCTCACCAAATTCAAATCCGAACCCTAATCCAGGGGTTTGGGTCTGAATTGGGTGAGGTTGAAGGAGAAGGAGAGGGCTCCATTGATAATAGAGAAAGAGAGAGTGAATGAGGGTCTTACTAGGTAAAGGGGTAGAAGAAATTTGAATTCAGGGAAGTCAAAGGAGAAGAAGGGTGTAAAATACAATAACTTTGAGAATTAATGGGCGGAAGAAATTTTCCCAACAAAAAAGCTACAGTTCTCGTCAAAACTCTGACCGCCGGCAAGGAAAAGAAAGGTTGCATTGATGCTGGAGCTTTTAAGAATGCCATATTGGTAACTGGGGTCAACTTAAAATACCAATTAGGTAATTTAGCGAGGGAAATTACCAAAATGAACATACAACAAATCATGTTTTATGGATCATTTTGGGCAATTAAGAAACTCTTCCTGGAAATTCAAATTGGAGTACAAAATAGGATACGATCAGCAAACTTGGAAGAAGCTAGAAGCTAGAGACAGATTCAATTACATGGGGGATCATCAGTAGAAATATTTTGAAACTTATTGACATGCAATGGGAACTAATGAATGTGCTAGTCAGGACCAACAGGATTGTAGTAGGAAGGACTACGACTGAGATAAAAATATGTAGGAGATTATTAATCTAAGAGGAATGGCCCTGGTGAATGGAGAAAAGAATTCAAAAGCGCAGCTCGAACTTTAGAGGCTTTGATGGTATTTCTAGTTCAATTAATTAATAATAAGGGAGATATAGACTTGTCATAGTGTTAATTTTACATCAAGAAGATTATAAGATGCATATTACTAGGAGTAATTTGCTCAAATTTTCCAGGATGATTCTTCAGACTTGGAGGAGGCCTATGGCAATCGACCCTCTGGTGAGAAGCTTCTTATCTCTATTCCAGTCTTCAAAAATTTGTCTATACTATATCAGTAGGTTATATGACTAAGGAACCTCTTGTAACGCAGTTTCTCTGACGTCAACATGTAAAGTTCGAAAAGCTCGACCAACAAAAACTGGATCTCGCTTGAAACTGGCACTTGGCTCGCCTGCTGCTGATTCAGATAGTGACAACCAGGTATGTTGAATATTTTCTTCGACTTTGGCCTGTACCTCTCATGAATATATCCTGATTCATCAGGGGGCACAAAAACTAAATGTAATATATTGGTTGCAGTCAAAGAACGGAAAATTTACTGAAATCCAGTTCCAGAAACTAGCAGAAGAACTAGATTTTGATGAGAAATGGTACCCTTTGATCAAGTATCTAAATACATTTGGATTAAACGAATCTCACTTTATTTCTATCTACGAGAGGCATATGCCATCCCTTCAGATAAACTTGGCATCTGCACAAGAAAGATTGGAGTTTTTGTTGAGTGTTGGTGTCAAACACAGGGATATCAAGAGGATCCTCGTTAGACAACCTCAGATTTTAGAGTATACTGTAGAAAACAATATGATGTCCCATGTGATTTTCTTGTTGGGCATAGGAATTCCAGAGGCACGAATAGGACAGATAATTACTGCTGCACCATCTTTGTTTTCTTATAGTGTTGAACATTCTCTGAAGCCCACTATTCGCTATTTGGTTGAAGAAGTTGGTATCAAGGGAAGTGATGTTAGCAAAGTCGTCCAACTTAGCCCCCAAATTCTCGTCCAAAGGATTGATAACTCATGGACTTCTCGTCTGTCCTTTTTATCAAAAGAATTAGGAGCGCCGAGAGAGAATATAGTAAAGATGGTCACTAAACACCCGCAGCTCCTTCATTATAGCATAGAGGATGGAATACTGCCCAGAATAAACTTCCTCAGGAGCATTGGAATGCGTAATTCCGAGATTTTGAAAGTATTGACGAGTCTTACTCAGGTGAGCTCTTGCTTTTCTCTTCTCTCCTTTTATGTTATTTTCTAAACCCATACATTTCTTAGTCAGGGTACCTCTCACTCATGTGCATTCTTGGTAGTGCTAAAAAAAATTCAAATTTATTTAGATATTAGTCCCTCAAATCTTCAATAATTCTATGTTAG